AACACCCCAGAGGAATTTGACTTGATTTTAACGGACTTTTCTTCTCTGCAGCTGATTTTGGGTTCTGCGCCCAGATCACCCCTGAGCAAAGTAAACGAAGTACTATGGTGGGAACTCCCTATTGGATGGCACCTGAGGTGGTGACTCGAAAAGCTTACGGTCCGAAAGTTGATATCTGGTCTCTGGGGATTATGGCAATCGAAATGGTGGAAGGTGAACCCCCTTACCTTAATGAAAATCCACTCAGGGTAAGTAAAATGAAAACATAGGTAATTCAGCCACAGGAAAGGGGCCAAATGTCATTCCTTGTCTCCACCAAAAGTGCCCAGAACAGGCCCTTCCCTGAGACGAGTGACACAGAAGCTCCAAGTTCTACTTCGCAAAATTACTGTGAGCTCATGTCAGTATCTCTTAAGGTGTCTCCGCGGTTTTTCCAGGTGCTTTGATATCAGGATTTCTAATGGCAGGGGTCTATAAAATTCTTCAGTATTGCTTTCTACTGTTAAAAAAAAAAAGCATAGCTCAAAAAAAAAAAGTGAGATGTGGGAAGAAAAGTATTTTTTTATCACATGCCATGGTTAAATGATCTATCTAGGAAACACTTGTTTTACAATCATGTTAACAAAGTGAATAAACGCATTTCCAGAACACCTATAATTTTTAAATTAGATTTTGTCTCATTGTCAGTAATGATTTATTGAGCAGCCGCAGCTGGGTGGGTATCGAATGGAACACGAGAGAGACGCCGTGCCAGCCTGGTGGAAGCACAAACTTAATTAGACTGTCTAGTAGAAAATTAATGGAGATAGTTTGTGTTGGGTAACTCAGTTTGCTACTGCAGAAGCAGGTTTGGTCCTCATGTGGTCTGGTTACCTCTGGAAAGAGAAAAGCTCCGTTTCACAGCCTAACACCATCTTTATTCAGAGATAAGCCATGGATCACGAGAGTAAAGGGCAAAGGAGCAGGAACGAAACGCCCGCTCAGCCCTGAAGTGAGCCAGCAGCTATTTTGTTGTGTAGAGGCTAAGGGTGAGCCAGAAGCTGTGTTACATATTTAAAGGGCATCCCGCTTTTGAAAAAGGAAATGCGCACACATTCAAATTCTACCCTCAAAACACAAATAGGGTGCCAGCGCCAAAGGCATCCTGTGTATTGTTTACACCATTACCACTGAGTCTCAAATCGAATTTGGTCCTTGGTATAAACAAATTGTCCTCGGCAAATGGTTCGGCGTCTACATGTTAAGCTGATAAAATCCATCTTCAAGCCAGATATACGTGGCTTTCTGGATATGTAAAGCAACGTACAAACTAATTGTCTAGTTGTTTTCACATTGAACCTTTTGTAGTTGGGAGCTGTGTTCCCGCGAATGGAGAGGGGGACAGCCTCCTCCTCGTCCCCTCCTAATTCCTCTCTGGCACTTGGCCTCTTGTCCAGTCCCTGCACTGATTAGAAAACAACAGATAGGAGCAAATGCCCTAATGAATGCTACGGGCTATTGCTCTGGTCTCATGAAACAATCTGGAAGTGAGATGTGCACATTGATTAGCTGCCTGCGGGGCTGAGTGGAAAAGAAGGGGCATTTTCCCACCGTTTGTGGGTCAGCCCTCCATGAATTTAATCAAGCCCACCCCTGACCTATGGACCAGCGCATCAGGATAATTACTTGGGCTTATCCTTATTGTTTAACCACCTTTGCCCATTAAGAAATAGCAGTGAAAGAACACATCAGGCCTCTTGTTTCCATGGATTTCCTCCACTAAGTCTTCGGAGTTTGGAGGCACTAAACGGATTACGGCTATTTTGCTTTCTGCCTTCTAATGAGTAATTTACAACCTGCAAAATTTAAGGATTAAATAAATGGTGCTGTAAAGCAACTGGTCTCGGTAATGCATTTATTACCTTCCTCAGTTCCCCAATTACAATTGATCGTTCTTTAGCTAGGCTGTTAATTGTTAGAAAAAAAGGAAACAAGTTTTAATCTTTATAGGCATCTTCCAGCCTAGGATTAGAACTCATAATGAACAGCTTGTCTCTTAGAATCCACAGCCTTGTATCTAAACAAGTACTTTCAGATTAACAAGCCACCAGGTTCAGGAAGCCTACATTAAGGCCATAACAAAAAGACTTGTCAGAAAGACCACCCTGTTGAATTCCACTGATAAGGATTTAGTCTAACTTTGCTCATTACTCTCCGTGTGTGATCAACCCCCAATGACTCAATCAATCGACAGGTCCGTATTGAGCCAGTGCTCTCTCTCTCTCTCTCTCTCTGCTAGATGCCATAAGTGTTTTTTGAGTTTTGATTTTAAATATGTTGCCCTCGTGTTTGCTTAGAGAAAATACAAGGTCTTGGGATATATGCCCTTATTTGGGATTTGCAAAATGTGGTCTCCAAAACCATAGAGAGATTGGAGAGGAAAAGACATACCATGAGCCTGTAAGAAACCTGTATTTTCTTGGGTCCTGGTGACCAGGCTATGTGTGGGGAATTGCAGAATTACAGAGCTTTGGGAGAGGTATGAAAGAGAGGTAGATTAGTCCTTCTTTCCTTGAAATCCTTCCCATACTACCACCCACCCACCCCTTTGGGCTTTGAGGAGGAAAGAAGGAAAGAAGTGGAAGGAAGCAGCGTGGTAGAGGGTAGCACATCATAGTGAAAATTTTGGCCCGTGTAGTCAGGTGGATCTGGGTGTGCCCTGCCTCCACAACCTAGAACCTCTATAACTTTCAACAAGTCACTTAAAACCTTTGTAACCCTGTTTCCTTTGCATAAAATGGGGGTAATACCTGTCTGGCAGAGGTAGCGTGAACACTAAATAAAATAATGCATGCAAATCACCTAGCACAGTGTCTAGCTCATTGTAGGAAATACATGTATATGTATATTGTTTTCCAGTTTAGACAGGGTTCTGTAAAGCTCTGCCACAGAGCTTTGGATTTGGTTTAGTCCTTGGCGTGGGAACCTGACATCACTGGTTCTTAAAGCTCCTTAGAGAGATAGATTTATTATACAAATAGAAAAGTCAGAAAGGAAAAAGAAAGGATCCTTAGAGTGCTTTTTACACATTCATAAATGGAAATTGGATTCCCCACTTCTGCAAAAACTTCCCCTTCACGGTAGCTATACTCCGGTCCCCGCAAAAAGTAGATGGTTCTGCAGAGCTCAGTAAAATTACAATGAACAGGTAACACAGGAGAGGTTCAAGGTGAAGACTGGGGCTGTACATTTGGGGGCTGCTTGCCTTTTGTTGTGGTTTTGTGCGTGTGTCTCTATTGGGTCGGTTACAACCGAGCAAGCTCTTTGTGAATGCTGCCAGTTAACATATCGCTGATGCAAGGAATCAGCTACTTCCCCCCGCCCCTAGTTATAAAGTGGTTGGAATTGTTTGAATGTAATTCACTCCGTACTAACTGACCCAGTTTGCTCATAAAATGAGTTTTAAAGGTCGTAGAATTATTTACTGACGTTACGAGGTTGGTACCCTTCCAGAGACAGAAAGGAGACAAGCTTCTTACCGTCCCCCACTGCCTGAAGTCTTTGCGCTCAGCATAATTGGCCTCGAACATGTTGTTCTGTGACCCATGGACATTTTTAGTGCAGTCTCCAGTAATAAAGTGCCTCGTTTCTTCTGTTTGCAAAAGCGACGGGATAAAATCGAACTTCGCCTGTGGATATGCCAATCAGTGTTGGTGTTCTGCTCATCTCCCCAACTTTTTTTGTGAATTGGAGATATGTGGTCTAAAACCTGTGGTCACAGTGACCTGCTTCTAAATAAAGAGGGACGATCATTTCCATAAAACGGATCTTTTGCTTGTTTTTCTCAGCCCCAAAAGAGTACCCCTGTATGAACTTTGCATTCACATGTAATTGGGCTGTTCTTATCAGTGAGTTTTGATGGAATTTGGTATTTGTGAAATGTCCCAGTGACATCCGGTTGAGGTCCCTAGTGGACCATGGGCAGATCCCTTTTTTACATGTGATTTTCCAAACCTTTATCCTAGTTGAAATGAACTTTAAATGTTGTCTTTCTACCCTTGCTTCAAGCGTCTGTGACACGGTAGCAAGCATTGGATGTTTGGAAGGCTGTTACTGGTATTAATAAGGGACGTCTGAATGCTAAAAACAGTATATAATGTAAGATGCGAACCACTGACCCCATACCAGTGGATCTGCCCCGTGGTTGTGCACTGGAATCACCTAAGGAGCTTTAAGAACCAGTGATGTCGGGTTCCCACAGCAAGGACTAAACCGAATCCAAAGCTCTGTGGCAGAGATTTATAGAACCCTGTCTGAACTGGAAAACAGTTCTTCGCCAGCCCTCTTTGAGCATGATTCTTCAACCAGAAAAGATCATACTGTTATTCTGTGCACATTTCTCCGTTTCCCCTAAAAAAATAAAATACCGTGAGTAACTCTGTCAGAGCCCTGTTGAAAAATCCCTTTGCACTTTATGGCATTTTCTGATTTCCCAGTCCGGTGGCACTATTAGAAAAAGGAATGACCTTAGCTCAGCATAGACGTCCATGATACGCCATTTCTCTTTCAATTTTACTGATCCCAAAAAACAGAGTTTATCATGACGACGTGTTAGCTGAGTACATTATTTATTATTTATTATCGGTGATAATAAAGCTATCAGTCTGACTGCTCACGATTAGGAGTGCATGACCCGGATGGCCAGAGAGAAGGGAGGGCACGGATCAAAAATCGGTCCTATTGCGTACCCTACGAGGACAACAAGGCTCTCCGTTCTCCCTTTCCCCTCACCTAAAGCACTGCACTAATGTCAGTTACCCTTACCCTTTATTACAGCACTAGGGAAATTCTGGTTGGCTTGGATGTCTAGAGAAGAGAGTTAAGCAGGAGAGAATCTCTAGCAACTGAAAAACAGCAACTAGGGGCCAACGTGCTTCTAGCTCCTCCAACCACTGGAACCTGTGCTGTGGATTGGAATGTCTGGCTTTGATGGCGCGTGCTCATTTGGAATTAAAGTCAGACATAAACTTCCTGAGCGCCGGAGAAGCAAGCATACTTTGCTAGCACTCAGTCAATATTGTTTTGAATGTATTTCAGGAAGAGCTGGGAGCATTCCCTTCTTTTTCCATAAACCACTGTGGAACAGCAAGGTTTGCTGATGGTTTGTTGACACTCCTACTCTGAAGGCAAACCTGTGCCTGAAAGGAGGGGCGAGTTGGGACCAACTGCAACTAAAATAATTATAGAACGGTAACAGGGTTTCTTTTTA